AATTTAAATTATTTAAAACATAATATAAAACCAATACTCCAATTTATTTATCAAAACCAATTTATTTAAACATGCTTTTATTTCATAATCATACTTCAATTCAATTTAATTCAATCATCATAAAATCATTCAAACATGCTTATTCAAACCAATTACTTTCAAGGTGTAATCCCCCGTGATTTTGTGAAATTTAAAATTATATTTTAACATATTTATCTGAATATTTAATTATGATTATTTACTTACAAAAATTTATTTTATATAAGCAAATAAATTTATTGTTTATTTATAATAAAAATTATTTTATTAAATTATTTCTCTACCCATATTTTTCAATCATGAATGATTATGCAAGTTCAACCCACTTTGTTTATAATATTATAGCCTACTTTAGAATAAAGAAACCTTAAACTTTTATTCAAGCCCAACTCTTTAATCCTACTCTCACTTAAACATGGGAACCAAGCCCATATAAAATCCCAAAAACCCTCACTTCACTCTCATCTCATGTGAAATTCATAAGAGCTCCCCTTACTCACTTCTTGGTTCTCTTTCACGAAAACAGAAGAACAAAAAAATAAAAATAAAATAAAATAAATCGAGCTGCTGCCTTCACCGCCCAGCCATGCCCTGCACCACCACCGGACACCTACTCGCTGCTAACCACCAGCCACCCCGTGACTGTTGTTCGCCCTTTTCTCTCTCCCTTTTGTTTACTTCTCTTTGATTTTTGTTAAATTGTTTAAAGATTCAATCTTTGATTAATTTGTTCTAAATTATTATTATTATTATTATTATGGTTTGATGATGTATATGAATTGTAAAAGACTATAAATTTATGAATTATACTATGTTTAATTTAGTGACTAAAATTTCAGATTTATTTAATTAAGAAAATAAGGGTTTAAAACTTAATTTGCATGGTTTTAGGGCTTAAAAACGTGTTAGTCAAGTTATTTATATATATAGTGATTATATTATGTTAGAAGAAAAGATAAGAAACCAAGGAAAAAAGAAGAATTGGATTTGCATTGGAAAGAATAGGCAGAACTTGCAGAGGCTGTAACTCCTTTGATATAACTCTGAATTGGGTGATTCTTGAGCCTAACCTCAGGGATTTTTTTAGAGGAACAATTTTTTTTTGTAATAGAAAAACCCCAAAACTGAACAGAAGTGCCCGAAAATTGGCTCCAAAGATGTACGGGCTGATTTTCTTTAGAAAAGAGGAGAAGAAGAGAATTGGTGTGAAAAATGTGAGAGGTATGAAGGGGTATTTATAGGCTATCTCATGCAAGAATTATGGCAAGAGAATTTGGGAAGAATTATGGCAAGTAGGGTTTATGGAATTTCTTGGAGAAGTGAATAAAAGAATTAAGGAAGGTTTTGATATTAAGGTGATTGTGTGTAATTAAATATGGAAGGTATGTTTGTCATGAAAAATAATATGGAAGTTGGAATTACTTGGGGAATAATTAAGAAGAATAAAAGGCAATAAAATAGATGATCAAATATTAAAAAGATGGAGAAATAGAATTAAGGAAAATAAGAGATTTTGGGAGATAATTAAAAATACAATTTACCAAAATAATTTCCCCCAAAATAATACAAGAGGGCCGAAAATCTTGAGCTTTCCATAACTCAGATTTTCGGATTCCCTTAATAGTATTTAGGAAGATTTTTGCTCAATTTAAGGAATAAAAATAATTGTGTAAATAATATAGAGTAATTAATTAATTAAACACCAATTATTCACCAATAATTAATTAAGAAAATCAGATTTTCTATACATAGAAAATCCCAATTTCCTAGCTAAATAAATGGGAATTTTCGGCCATTTAAAATAATTGATATAATATAATTTTGCTTTAATTAAAATATCAGAAATATATAAATAATCCAGTTTTTAAAATAAGATAAATGGATACTAAATTTCATCCAAAATAATAATTAGATTTCAAAATACTTTTGGCGCCAAAATTCAAATATCATTTTGGCTTCAAATAATAAAATTTACTAAAAATACCCTTTTATAAAACAATTTCTAATTAATTAATTAGAAAATACGTATGAAAATACGGGGTATTACAAAAGGAAATGGGAGTTGATAATTCACAAACTCTTGTTGTTGAAAATAGAGGAAGAGGCAAGAGAAGGCATCCCAAAGGTCGTGATAACTCAAGGAGTAGGTCCAAATCAATTGATGGAAGAAATGTGACTACATGCAACTCCTGCAAGAAACCTGGTCATATCAAGAAGTATTGTTTCCGTTTGAAAAAGGAACAAAGAAAGAAGAATGATTCACAAGAAGAGAGAGATGATAAAAAATACTACAACAACAAATTCTAAGAGTGATGATGAGGTCAGTTTGATTTGTGCAACTAGTGAGTATCATCATGTTGATAGTTCAAACACAAAATGGCTTGTAGATACAGGGGCTTCATACTATTGTGTTCCCAAGAGAGAGTATTTCATAAACTACACGTCTGGTGACTTTGGTAGAGTGAAGATGGGAAATCAGAGCTCAGCAAGCATTATTGGGTTAGGTGATATTCGTGTGAAGACAAGTGTTGGGTGCGTGCTTACATTGAAGAATGTGCGTCATATTCCTGATCTACGCCTTAATTTGCTATCTGCTAATGTTCTTGATTTACAGGAATTCTTGTTGGGTTTCGTGATGTCCAACACCACGAGGAAGCAAAACCCGACCCCAAGACCCGCACATAAATAAATGCAACTAAACATAAGCATATTAATTAACATAATTAATAACACGATTAACAAAGAGAGAGAAAGACAATCTTACCCATGTAGCGTGCTTCGCTCACTCGAGCTCTTACTTGAACAAACACGGTCTCAAAAACGAAAAGAGCCCAAAATGTGACCTCTCCAACGGAGTCCACCCGCGCCCAAACTTGGTCGGAATCACCAGCTAGGGTGATTCCAATACTACTAAGCAAGAGGATCTCCTTATAAGGTTTTCTCAAATATGAGATGCCTTTTATATAGTTCTTTCTCTTACAAGGAATTCTGTTTGAGTGGTCTTTGAGTATAACTCAACCATTTTGACCGAATTTGTTGTCGTTGATTCTTTATTAGCAGTTGCCTCTCTGATGTTTAAACCTTATAAAGATTTTTTAATTATATTTTTCCATGATTTATGTTTGAATTAGCTAGATAATTGCCTGTGATTCTCGAATTTTTCAAAAAAAAAAAAATGCCCAAAAAAATTTGATTTAGGGCTTTCTTGTATGATGTATAATTGTTGAAATTAATTGTCCCATGTGAATGTATGTTGAATTGTGTGCGTTTTGATAACAAATGCATGTATTTTGGTTGAGAATTGAGCATGTTATGTTGTACCCATGAGATTTGTACGAGACTTTCAATGGTGGTTCAACCATTGTTGACCTTTATTTTATATAATAAATTTTATTGTCTAGATTATATAATCTATAATAAGTTGAATGATATCATCTATAAGTTGGATGATATCCATCATAAGTTGGATGATATCATCCATTATCTAGATGATATCATGTATTATTTTCATTATATCCTCAAAATAATAGATGATCCATTGCCTAGATGATATCATTTATAGATTGGATTATTTATATCCTCTATTGGTTATATGATATCATTTGTAGGTTGGATGATGTATTCTATTAGTTTGTTGGATGATACCCTCTATTGGTTATATGATATTATCTATTGTATTTTGGATAATTCTCTATTGATTCTATTATAAGAAGTATATGATATCATCTCGTCTATAGATGATATCATTTGTTTGTTCAATGATATCATATGTTTGTTTAATGATATCCTCTATTGGTTCTATGATATATTGATATACTCTATTGGTTATATGATATTTACAAATTGAGATTGTTGTTTTAAGGCTTGACTCACCAAACTATTGATGAGGCTTCAATACCTTCTCTTGGTTCATATACATCACAAGTTTATGAACACAAATACTATGGTCAACATTTGTCCATAAGGTTTGTAGAATTTTTTTATTTTTAATTAAACTAAGTGTTAAGTTAGGAATTAAATAGTGAAAAGTTCATCCATAATATAACTTATATATAAAGCTAAACTTTTAGTCGGATCACGAGACAGCGACACTTGGCATTCCAACCTTTCGCCATGTGTAGCGCCACATTAAATAGATTTAAATAGGCTTCATAAATTTTTTTTTTAAAAAAAGTTAGTTTAGAATTCTATTTGGATAGAATTTTAGGTTTTTTTTTTTTTTTTTTTTGAAACTAGGATAAAATTGTTAGTTTGGAGTTTTATTTTCGATAAAATACCAATATTTCTGAGGTACAAATTGAATTATAATTTTTTAAAAAAAAATTATTAGATTATAATTCTAAGAAATTATCAAATAAATTTATATTTATATCATAATTATTTTGGGAGCATTGAAAGAAGTTCAAAAAGTACAACATTCATTTATAATATATCGTAATCGATTTAAATACAAAACTTCACAATCTAATATAATTTTATTACTTTATGTAGAACTACCAATCGGGTTGAATCACGAGTCATTTTGGGTCGAGTCACTTCAGGCTACAAATCAAAAAATGTTCATACTAGCACAAAGTTTTAGGTTCGGGTCAACTGAACTAGCTTAGAAAATTTTTTTGACTTGTTTTATTTCTGGTTAATTTTTAAAACTTTCTAATATTTCAAACTTATTTTGCTATTTTTTTAAAAATTTAAATCAAGCATTTTTACCAATGTTATTATTAGTCATTATGCCTATTGCATAATTTAAAATCGTCACAAAATCACATCAATTCCTATTAATTTTGTATCAATGATAAATTTTAAAACTTGGTATATAGATAAGAAGTTTATGTCATAGAATTATTAACAACCCGAACGTCGTACAGGGCACCAAACTAGAAAAGGTCCCTATTTAAATCCCCATATGAAGGATAAAAGTCAAACTCCCGAAAAAAAAATGTCAAACAAAACGATTTAAGTGTCAATAAAAAGTCATACGACATTAGATATTTAAAGCGGATTAAATGAGATGTTTCTTAAAAAAAAAAAAAAAAAAAAAAGAAAAGAAAAAAGGTATAGGTCGTTGTTGGCTCCCCACAAGCATCTTATGATATTTTATGATCGATTTATGTTTACGTATCCAACTAATTCATAAATAAAATCATTAAAGCCATTACTAAAAATCAATAAAGACTTTCAGATACGCCAACAAAATTTAAAGTATAGTAACAAAAGACAATGAGGGTTGGATCTTGGATGGACAAGCAACATTGCGGATGGACAAGCAACATTGAGAGTTCCTTGAGATGTTGGGGAAGAGCAGTCTTTTAGACCATAAGCTACATACAGAGGTACGCTGTAACCAGGGTTGCGAGAGGGACTGATATATTATCATCAATTTGCTCTGTTGTTGGAAGCGATTCAACAACTGTTGCAACGAAAGAAACTACTGCAACCCTTTGGGCTGTGAGATTCCAATCAAACTGGAAGTAACCCAGAACTGAAAAGTAGTAAAGCATCCTGAGGCATCAACAACAGATAGCTATGCATCAAATCACTGGGGTCAAATACAAACTCACTCTAGCACATTAATTTGAATCGCCAAGAAAGAAAGAGCAATTTTACCCCATAGATATCAAGAAACCAAAGGTAAACATTGAAATACTACCGGCCCAACTCTTTTTCTGGTTATAAGGTAACTTCACATAACCGAATTTTCTTCCCATGATATCAGCAATTCCTGTGGCTCCCATAGTTAATAGAGAAACTTTTGCAGGGAATAAAAAAAGAAGCTGGAAGGTAAACTAAGTCAAACAAAGTATCAGCTTATTTGTAAGGAAATTTAAGGACTATACCATCACCACCAGACATCATTGCCAATAACAACAGGCCAACTGGAGAATCACGCCAGAAGAAAATGGAAGATAAAGCTAGAATCAGAACATAGTATAATGGACCTTGTAGTAATTCCCTGCAATTTCGAGAAATAGCAAAATGTCACAGACACGCAATAGAGTCATCAAAAAAAATTTCTAAAGGATTTGAGAAACTTACTTGGGTTTGCCTTCTCGAGTAACAGATTTGATGAGGCCTTCATCTGTTGCAAGTGAGAGTCCATTGACCACAAGTCTCAAACCATTTATAAATGGAGCAAGAGACGCAAAATACCGAGCTTCTGGTGAGGCGCTATTCTAGATTCACATTGATGAGTTTAAAGTTTTTTTTTAAATAAAAGAAAAAAGAAACCTCAATTTTCTAGATAAAGATGAAGAAGAAGTACCTGAAAAGAGGCCAGGCAGCCACAAAAAGCAACCCAGAAATTATATGGACAAGCTTTCTGCTCAAATTCTGCTCCATAGACAAGGAACTAAATTAAGAATCAATTGCCTTTGTGTTTTTTCCAATTAAAATTAGCAAATAAATGTACCACCTACTCATTGTATGCACAGGACAAGTTCGCCATCAAATACCTAACTAAAGACCCTAGGCAGGTGCAAGAGGCATGCTTCCCACAAACAAAACACAATTAAAGCTCAGCTTTAGGTTAAAGGACTTACAAGGCAACACACAAGACTTCCAATTAATTGCACGTTAATAGATAATTTTGGCCATACCATGTTCCAGAAAGACATGAATACCAACAGCCAAAGGGATGTCAAAGCTATTAAGTTAACACATTGATAACTTCAAGCTTGTTTGCAGTTTACATCAACAAATTGACCAAATTATCATCAATCTTGTCTTGTGGGGCTATGAGAATGACAGACACAAAGGGAGAAAGATGAAATAATAGAGGCCAGGGTGAGATGGAATTGAATACCTTGTAATTCTAGAGGAAAATTAGTGGCACTTAAATCATCTGAACCATATAATAAGTCTATAACACATCCATGATCTACATTGACAAGTATCTTTGATATAGGTACTAGAAATTAAGAACCATCAATGTTTCTTGGACCTACAGAATTTCGCCTCTCCTACACAGTTTCTGGAGTAGGAATCTTGAGACGAACAACAAAATAAAGGTATCAATAGAATAGGGTTTTGAATAACCTGTAGTGAGACTATAGTTAATAAGACACAAATGTTGTTATTTTTGTAAACGTCGGTTATTATCACATTCATCCAAGACACATAAGTTTGCTGTTTTATTTTCCCCATATCTTTCGAAATCCATCAAGCTGCAAAACCATCCTAAATTAAGAAAGAACTAACCACTTATTCCTGGAGTATCCACAATCACATAGTTATTAAGAAAATTTTCACTTTAGCTAATGGCTAGCCTGCAAATCTTGTAAAATTGTAATAGCCGCAGTGCCTTACACTATGCACAAGGGCAAAGAACCAAAATGGTTTTATCAGAACATTTTCCTTTAATGGAACTTCTGAAAAGTAAAAAAATCTAATATACTAGTATCTTTGAAAGGACTGCAATACTGCAAGAACAATCAATGGAACTTTACCTTTTAGTAAATCGATATTCCAAAAGATTTTAACAAAAAGTTTCAGCATGAATTTATAAGGATGCTTGTCAAGGAAATTTTCTCCAATACATTACAATTATGCCAACATACACATTCTTTGGACGCCTTATATTTGAAGAAGGCGTGCCTATTGTAGGCTAGGAAGTCATAGTTGTATGATCACAGATTCACAGGCAGTTGTTTCCATTAGACCCTTGATCCAAATGTAATATTATTACCCAAAGATAACCTAACATTAATGAAAAAACTATACAAATTCCTTTTTTTTTTTCTTGTATGTAACCAAAGCAAAATGGAAAACTACTACTACTATGTAAAATTTATCACTTCTCAAGATCTTTGCTCTGCTCATTAATCAACCAAAGAGAATCACATAATTAACACCCACTAAATATAAAATCATAATTATTTATAAAAAAAAAAAAAAAGTTCCTAAGTTTGAATGTTCTGCACGTCTCTGATTTCTGAGCCAAAATAACATACAACCCTCATTACAGAAGAATCCAAGCCAAAACCCCAATTTAAAATTGTAAATTGAAGAGCAATTAACTTAAAATTAAGATTAAAAAAAAAACTTCTAAATAAACCTGAGAGATGATTTTGCGGTGAGTGAGATTATCAAAGACAGAAACAAGAGAGTAACCACCAGTGATTAAAAAAACAGTTGCGCCAACATCCTGGAAAAGCGCAGCATCAGAAGAGAGTAACGCGCGCCTGGAAACTACTGTGGATGCTGCTGAATTATGCTTGAGTATAGTTTTAGAGAAGGGGTAATGATGACGATGGAAATGGAAGAATGTGAGGTTAAAGTAGGAAGGACACGGTTGAGCCGTGCCGAAAGACCGTGAACAATGGTAGAGGGTGTTTAATTTCAGATGTATCGCCATTGTTGCGCCTGGAGGCTGGAGTAGTAATGGAGGTCTTTGCTGTTCTTCCCAATAATTGAATTGCGTCTTAGGTTTGATTAATTACGTAGCAACTAGCCTTTTGGCCCGTTCGATGCACGGGTTCATATGGTTATTTCATATGTAGGTATGTTTTTCGGTAGTTAAACTTTTGATATGAAATACGAAATTATTGTCTCATTGCTAAAACTTAAAAGGAAAAAAAGAATGAGGGTAGAAATGGGGAAAAAGATAAAGGAATTTAGTTACATATATATACATGAATATTATAGGATATTAAGGTATTTCAGGTTTAATAAGTTCAAATAAGTTTAGTTAAGTTCAAATAAGTTGATATAAGGGTTAATAAGTTCAGATAAGTTCAGGGTTAATAAGTTCTAAATTAACGTTCTCCTCACCTTATTTCCACTTACTTCCTCCGTTTTTTTAAAATTGCACCACTTACCTTTTAAGAAAGTTTCACATTTATTGCACCATATCCATTTTAGGAAAAGAAATTTATGTGTTCACACTATAAATACCTAATATACCCTTGCTTTTCAACCCTTACTTTTATTTTGTGCATACAATCACATGGGCAACTAGGTATTTTTACCTTTCTCTCTCATCCTTTTTTCCACTACCAAAAAATTTGTGTCAAACTCTTATGGTGCAATAATAAAAGAACGAAAGAATTATTATATTTATATAGAGTTATTACTAATTGTAGACACCCATTTGTGTCTCCCCAAAACCAAACCCAGTGATGAATACCTTTCGCGTCGAATCATAATCGAATAAAGTGAAAGTGTGGAAAGTTTAGTGTTGCAGATAGTTTTAGTTTCTTTTCTCTTCTCTCTGTTTTTGAAAACTTATTTTAAGAAAACAGTCAATCCAGTTTGGTGGTCCATGATATGGGTCCAATAATAGTGTAGTTGGATGGGGCTTGACAAGAGCTTTCCAACGATATATTATAAGCCCAATTCCGATGAATATTGAGGAAGTTATGGCCAATTTACTAAACTGGACCCGTTTTGAGCCTTATATGCGGCCCAATGATCTAGGGGAGGGCCTAATATGATTTATCATTCCTAATGCAATTAGGAATGGTTTTAGTCTTCTAAATTCTTCTAGAAGGTTCTTTTCATTCCTAATTCAATTAGCATTGATAAATTGACTTTTGTTGACTTTTCAGAGTTTTAATTTAAATCAAAGAGCATTTTTGAGGAAAATATACGTTTTTATCCTCCTGTACGGTAATTTTTATCTGATTTTAGAAAAAACGCGTGAACTTCTGAAATCAGCGCCAAACGCCAGCTGTAGCGCCTGGCGCCTAGCGCCAACAGCTAGCGTTGGCGCTGGTTCGGTTTTCTGTGCGCCAATGCTCTGTTTTAATAATTTTATCTTTTTGGCTGATTTTCTCTATAAATAACGTCGTAAAAACTCTGTTTTCATTGACCTACAACCAGTTTTCATTCGCAATCATCAATTCTCACATTCTCTTCTAATCCATCTCTTTCTCTCTTTTTCTAAACTTGCTTTTCAAATACAAAATTCCGCATTCATTAGATCTAGATACACCTAGCCATATTCGAAGTTGCCTTCGCCCTAGACGTGAAAGGTTTAATTTCTGAGAGCTTGGTCCCAAATCTCTCTTTCAATCATTTAATTTAATTGTTTGTTTATTATTTTCCTTGAAGTTACTAACGTGTTTATTTTGTTATTAGAAAGAGGTACGAGGCATCAAAGTAAGTACTTTAATGGTTTTTATTGATGTTATGATATAGAGTTCATGCTGAGATTGTTATTTTGATTCCTAGTATCATGTCTAGGGTAATTTTAATATTAAGTATGATCGTTATGATGCCTTTTATGTTCTTCCTAATATTTATGTTAGCATCATGTTAGGGCTAAAAATTTGATTTTTATTGTTTAGTGACATGCTAGGGTTTGTTATTAATCTTGTTAGTATCATGCCTAGGATCTTGCTATTATTATGCTTTAACATGATTTATGATTATTTTTATAATTGTTTTGATCATGATTATAATTTTATTATTGCTATATTTATTATTATTATGATTAACATGATTATTATTATGATTAATATGATTGTTATTATGATGATTATTATGATTAATATGATTGTCATTATTATTTTGATTATTGTTATGATGATTGTTATTATCATGATATTTATTATGATTATTATGTTGCTTGATGATTTTATGGTTATTGCTTGATCACGCCTTTTATGCATGTTTAAAGGGAATTGGTACTTGTAATCACGCTTAATAAGATAATTAATAATCTTGTTTAGGGTTAATTATGATTATAATTCAAGTGATCACCAATAATAGTTTATTTGTGCATTATACTCAACCAACATAGATTAAACAGATTTAGGGTTAATCCTATTGATTGCATGTTAGTCAAAAAGCGCACATGAATACGATCAGAATAAAGTAGAGGCCTATTGTAGGGAATAATTTCAAGCCTTTAAAATCCCACTAGCTTGAACCCCACTGTGATCATACACTAAAGTACGGTGGCGTCCAAAAGGGAAGAAGATAGAGCAAAAGAGTCGCCAACAAATTTTTAAGGAACTTGTAAACCGTTCACGAGGTGAAGGTTACACCCCTTAACGATCCAAGAGATCGTCAACTCCATAAGGTCATGAACCAAATAAGGGTTCGGGGATGATGGTACAAATCCAACCTAAAAGAGATCGAACCTGCCCTAATAATAGGCCTCTACTTTATTCTGATCGTATTCATGTGCGCTTTCTGACTAACATGCAATCAATAGGATTAACCCTAAACCTGTTTAATCTATGTTGGTTGAATTTGATGCACAAATAAACTATTATTGGCGATCACTTGAATTATAATCACAATTAACCTAACAAGATTATTAAATATCTTATTAAGCGTGATTGCAAATACAAATTCGCTTTAACCTGCATAAAAAGGTGATCAAGCAATAACAACAATAATATACATCAAGCAACATAATAAATAATCAACAATCAATCATAATCATAATCATAATAAATATAAATATTAGGAAGAACATAGGAAGCATCGTACTTTTAATCATACTTGATATTAAAGATACCCTAGACATGATACTAGGAATCAAAATAACAAACTAAGCATGATATCTACATCATAAATCAATTAAACCATTAAAGTACTTACTTGGATGCCTCGTACCTCTTTCTAATTACAAAATACACGCGTTAGTAATTTCAAGGAAAATAATAAAACAAAACAATTAAATTAAATAATTGAAAGAGAGATTTGGGACCAAACCCTTAGAAATTAAAACCTTTCACGTCTAGTGCGAAGGCAACTTCGAATATGGCTAAGTGTTTCTAGATCTTGCGAATGCGGAATTTTGTATTAAAAAGCAATATTAAAGGAAGAATAAATGAAAAGAATATTGAAAGAGATGAAGATGAATGAAAAGAATTAATGATTTGTTAATAAAAAGAGTTGATTAATGGTCAATGAATATTGATCATGGGTAATTGAAAAAGTGATTGTTGATGAATGATGATTGTAGATGATCTAAGAATAAGGAGAATTCGTCAATGAAAACGGAGTTTTGATACGATATTTATAGAGAAAAACAGCCAAAAAAAAGATAATTTATCAGAACAGAGTCTGAAGACCACAGAACCACCTTGGCCCCAGCCCTGGCTCGTTGGCGCCAGGACCAGTGGCTAGCGCAAGACGCCAATGGCTGGCGTCTGGCGCCAATCCTGATTCCAGGCGCCAAGACCTGGGGTTGGACGCCAAACCGGCTTTTAACGCGTTTTCGAAAGTCTGATAAAATTCTCGTACTGGAAGATAAAATAATATAATTTCAGTCGAAAATGCTATTTGATCTTGATTAAAACTCTAAAGAATCCTAATTGAATTAAGAATGATAAGACCTTCTAGAATGTTCTAGAAGACCAAAACCATTCCTAATTACAGTAGGAATGATAAATCATATTAGGCCCTCCCCTAGATCATTGGGCCGTACTTAAAACTCAAACCGGGCCCAGTTTAGTAAATTTGCCATAAATTCCTCAATATTCATCGGAATTGGGCTTATAATATATCGTTGGAAAGGTCTTTGCAAGCCCCATCCAACTACACCACTATTGGACCCATACCATGGACCAACCAAAATGTATTGGCTGTTTTCTTAAAATAAAGTTTTCAAAAACAGAGAGAAGAGAAAAGAAAAGAAAAGAAATAAAACTTTCCGGAACACTAGACCTTTCCACACTTTCGTTTCATTCGATTATGATTCGACGTGAAAGGAACTCATCACAGGGTTTGGTTTTGGGGATACACAAATGGGTGTCTACACCTATTATTAAGGCAGGTTCAATCTCGGTTGGATTTGTACCTTCATCCCTGAACCCTTATTTGGTTCAAGACCTTATGGAGTTGACGATCTCTTGGATCGTTAAGGGATGTAACCTTCACCTCGTGAACGGTTTACAAGTTCCCTAAAAACTTGTTGGCGACTCTTTTGCTCTATCTTCTTCCCTTTTGGATGCCACCGTACTTTAGTGTATGATCACAGTGGGGTTCAAGCTAGGGGTTTTAACGCTTGAAATTTATTCCCCACAGTTTTTGGCGAATCCACTAGGGACGATTTCTATTTTAATTCCTAAAATTTATTTTGGCAATGATTTAGAATGAGTGGATGAGACTCGAAACGTTCTAAGTATTTCATGTGCGTAATTTTGATTAACATTTTTGTCATATGCATAAAAAAGATCTCATTGGAAAGACCATCCGTAATGAGTTAAAAACATAGGATTTTACACGTAGGAAATTTGAGAAATATCTTTCACAACTAGGACCGAAATAACACTGCGCGAAACTGGAAAATTTTATCGAGCACAGAAAGCTGCTGAAGCATGTGGGAATTAGCGCCAGGGGGCAGAGCATTGGCGCCAGACTTTTAACTGTAGCGCTAGACGTCAGCATTGGCGCCAGGCGCTACAGCTAAAAACTGGCGCCAGTCTCTATTTGCTGGCGCCAACTTCCCCCAATATCGAGCCAGAAATATGCGT